GATTCGCCTTGTGAACTCTCAAAGTTTTTTTTTTTTTTTTTTTTTACTGGTCAAGCAAATAACAATGCAACTCAATATCCACCATAATCAGAAATGCCACCAATCCCCCAATCATCACACAAATCAGTCAACAGGTTGACAAGAAAAGGTTTTAAGCTCAAAAGGGCTACTAGTGGAATAAATTTAGGACCAAAGAATAAGGCAGAAGTGAGCTAATCAATCAAAACGCCTCAATCATATTCACAATTTTAAACTCTAATCGATTCCTTTCAAACAAACTCAAGGCAAGTTCTAATCATTCAAGAATATGACCAATATTTCCCGAACGCCGCCGTCTTCGCAACAGAGAATGCCGCCGTCTTATGTTGATGCCGACTTGAACTCCGCCGGCAGGTTCGCGTGCGTCTCTCTTGTGCTACCCTTCGTTCGTAATTTGAGTTTTGAGACTCAGTGCCATTGTTGATTCGAGGTACAGGATGAAGTTTGACAATATGACGTCGTCTTCTCGGGCGATGATCTTCTCTGGCGGCGTCGAACCGGACGGCGGGGTGTACAGCGGGGCTCGTGGAGTGGAGGAGCAACAGATCCAATTTTAATTTTGGGCTTCAATTTGAAAATTTGATAACTAATGAGGGCTTAATTGCAATTCTAGAAATTTAGTAAATATGACTAAATGTTCACCAGTAGGCAAGGTAGGCATAATCCGCGTGAGCTCATTTTATTAACCTCAATTGCCAACTCGACTAGCTCCAGTAGCAGAACTCAGTTTAAGGTTATAATATAAAAGTGAAAGTTAAAGGCTAGTCCCGGTAAAGCACAGTCGAGGTAAGAACTTTGATTCCCTTTCGCTTTACTTAATATGGATTAATCGATTACAGTCCACGAATGACTTGAATGCAATATATATATCTTCTTTACAGTTCTTAGTTCCTACCTTTGAACTTAACCTCTTTAGCAGTAAGTATTGTATTGGAAAAAACAAAAGTATTGTATTGGAAAGTGTAAGGACATTTCCGAGTTAATAAGTTGGTTTATTGCAATTTCATTGACATGTCAAATGTGTAAATTATAAAAAATATATCAAAATGCACAATAATGAATAATGATAAAAAAGATACACATTATTGAGTGTGTATGTGCACATTAAAAAATAAAAAAATAATAAAAACAAATAATACAAATTGATAGGTTGGTTTGGTCGAACCGATTGACCGAAACGTTAAAATTTATGTTCGTTGCATCTCGTTCGATTTCAATTGAGTATATTAGACAAATTGATAGTTTAATAAAAGTTTAATACATACACAATAATACAAAAAATGCATTATATTAATTTTTTATATTTCAATAAAAAATCATAGCTTAATATTTTTATACAAAAATATAAAAAATAATATTTTAATATAGTTTGATTTTTATTTTTGGTTATTTAAATAAAAAAATAACATCGTACCGAAATAATTGATATATAAAATAATAATAATAATTGAAACAAAATATAAAATTTCGTACAGAATCTATGTACGTTAGGTCTCATTCGATTTTGTGCAATCTGGTAGACATTTATGTGCATTTTGTATAACCATAATATGCGCTCTCAATACATACAAGAAATATAGATAAAACATAGTATTACTTTTTTTTATAAAAAATATAAATAAAAAATTTGGTAATATCTTTTCATATAATTTGGCATGTTCAATTATTTTATTTATTTCAAAAGACTAAAGCTGACATAAACACCTAATATTATTCGATTGATTAGCAAAATTACTTAATTTTTAGTACGTGCAGCGTGTCGTTGTATACGGTGCAACATGGCGTGTTATAAGATGCAACGTATTACTTATAAAGTGTGACGTATTAATTCTGGTATGTTTATGTTTTTTGTAGATATATGATGTGATGGAGTGTAAGTATTGTTTTATAAAGTGCAACATGTTATTTTATAAAGTGCGACATTTCCCTATATAAAGTGCACTAACTAATTTATACTTTCACAAATAAGTTATGGTGCAATATACATCGAATTAATCTAAATAATTAAAATAGCTTTTTATTTATTATTTTTTACTATATATTTTATTTAATATTAAAAAATATTTCTATATTATTTTAATATCTTATATACTTTTTATTTCATAATTTATTTGTTATTACAAAATATTTGTATATTATTTTTATTTAATTATTTATTTATTATTAAGTATATGACACCTTTAATATAGTTAGGTCGGTTTTGTTATTTTAAAAAACAAATAAAACATCTTCGATAGAATTAACCAAAATTTTAAAAGTAAAAATAGATAATCGAACCAACAGATTTAGTTCGTTCAATTTGGGTTGCTATAGTGCAACCTGAAAGTCAATGTTGTTCAATCCACCTAACACTAATGTGCACTCGAAGTGTGGTTATATTTTAATGGTCTGTCTTAAATAAAACTAAAAATCGGAATAATTTGTTTATTTGAGTGGTGACCTAATTAAACAAAATAATCAAACTAATTTATAACGTACGTTATAAAAAATATATTAATGTTTTTTTTAATATTTTAAACATATATATATATATATTTGTTGTAAATACCTAAAATACATATAACAAAATGATTTTTTATATAGTTCGGTTTGTTCGGTTATTTGAAAAAATAAAACCGACAATGAACCGAAATAATTGAAATTCTTAATTTTAAAACATATAATCCAACGGATATTAAAGATTCAAATCGAAAATTTTAGACATGTTGGTTCGATCGCTATTGTGCAGTATGACAAAGATTAATGTGCAATCAGTCTAACACAAATGTGCACAATATTGGTCACTAAAATGCAGTTTAACTCGAATGTACTTTTGTCCCAAATTAAATTAACACCAAATTGAATTACTTGGTTTATTTAGTTAGTTAATCGAATTAGCATAAGAATACCTTTAATAAAATATTATTTATATTATAAAAACACATTTAGTATGTAATATATTTTTTTTTTCTAAAATAAGTAATATCTTTATATAAAATATAAAAAATACCTTGTGAAATTGTATAATGCATTTAACATTATGTGATGTGCAATTATTAGATTTCTAGTAAATTATAAAATTAGGTCAATGTATTTAATTGTAACTTGTAAGCAGCCCTTCTTAGACCAAGTGGCCTAAGCACGTGCATAGGAGTAGGGTAGGAATTGCTTTATCTCTAATTTATTAGAGTTTACGAAATTTCAGTTAAGCCCCTACACATCATTAAATTTTCAAAAATAAGCCCACAACCAGAAACACATTTCAGGCTCAGTCAGGTAATTAAGCCGCCGTCTTTGTCGACCTTCTACTCCAATTGCAAGAGGAGCTTCTTGTTCGGGTTGGTGGAAGGTGGAGTTGGTCGCGAATGGAAGTCGCCGGAGTTGAGCCGCGGCGTTGTGTTCTTTGGCAATGGCGACCGGTGCCGGCGAACGGGAGGGCGCAGTGATGAACTCGAAGAACATGGCGTGTGTGTGTGTGTGTGTGTTGCGGATTCAGTGGATTGTGGTAGCTGAAATTTCAGGGAGCTTCTGCGGACTTCGGCGGCGGCAATGGGCGCCGGATAACGGGGTTGCCGCCATGTGTAACTCGAAGAACATGTGTGTGTGTGTGTGCTGTGGGATGGTGGTGAGCTGAATTTTTGGGATAGCTTTGTTAATTCTCGTCGGTGATGGCGGCGTAGGCCGGTGACGGCGCCTGTGAGTTATGGTCCTTGTGTGTGTGGGTGTGCGAGAGAGAAAGGGGGGAGAGAGATAGGAAGAGAGAGAGACGTGTTGTGTGTTATATGATTACTGGTGGGGCCCATAATTTTATGAGGTGGTTGGATTTTATTAATTCCTGATTTACCCTTAATGAATTTGAAAATTTGTTATATTTGTAGCTGTTAGATTGGCGGATCTAACGGTTAGGATGTATTCTTATTTCTTTCATTGAGAACCATTCTCACCGGAGCGCGACCCTATATATATAATTATAATTATATAATTTTTCAATATATACATATAGATACATATATACATACCTGCTCCCAAAAATCATATCCGGGCTAAAGCCCAGGAAGGCTTGAACATGGCTCCGCCCTTGTATGTAATATTCTTATAGCATTTGGTGGAAACCTGATCTGATATACTTTGGTTTTTCATGCTATTTTTAGGGATTTCATACGATTTCCTGTTTGAGCCGCATAAGCAATGGATTTGAATGAATCTCAACCAGGTATTGAGGCCATATTTATTTTTCTGTGATAAAGTGCAACATTCGAGTCTACAGTGTGCAATCATATGTTCACATCAGTGCAATTGGTTGGTTTACTTTATTATTAATAGTTTGTTTTTTTTTTCTTTTTTTTTTTTTTTNTTTTGGTTTCCTTCCATGACACTTAAGGCATGCAACCACCAGTTACACATCATCACTTATTAATCACACCGGATGGAACAAAATATTGGATACCACACTGTGACGAATCAATTAAACCGTATCAAGGACAAAGATTCAAGGAATTACATGAAGCGGTGAACTTCTACAAGACTCATGCTCTTACTGTTGGATTTGACGTGAGACATAGCACATTGGTGAAAGCACGTGACAAGACGGTTATTTGGAAATACCTCGTGTGCTCATGGGAGGGGTATAAGCATCATGCTGTCATCAGTTCTACGGCGCATGCTAAAGGACATGTGACAAGAGGTAGAGTGTCCAACCGGGTAGGTTGTACTGCCAAGATTGGAGTGTGATATGATGGACTGAACGGATACATCGTTAAAACCTTTGAGGAAAAACATAGCCACTCAATGACATCTGATGCTTGCAAGTCACAAATGAAGATCAGTAGGTCGATGAATGCAGGACATCGGTCGTTCGTAATGAATTGCATAAAGGCCAATATAGGGTCGGTCAAGTCGTACCGACCATATAAAGAGATGGTTGGAGGGTATTCGAACATCAGAGCCACTAGCGTGGATTTCAAGAACTTTAAGCGGGAACTCCTTGCGTACATCTTATAAGTTAATGCACAATTGATTATCGAGAAATTCCATAAGCGTCGGGAAGCAAGCTCAGCCTTCTACTTCCAACGAGCTTGACGAAAGTGACTGTTTAAAACGGCTTTTTTGGGATGATCCCATTTCGAGGAGGAACTACGGTTCGTTTGGTGATGTTGTATCGTTTGATGCAACGTAGCGCATTTAAAGAATGTATAATTTCTTGTTACGGAGCCCGTAAGGGGGTTGTGGATACTTCTGTACGAACAACAGATGCTGGATATCTCGAGCAGCTTTCGCCCCTTCAGGCCAGAAAAGCTGTAAAGGTCAACAATAATTGCGCAGTTTATACATTCTCTGGTTGCACAATATAAAAATTATAACTTGTATACTAACTCAACTTGATCAACGTGTAGGTACAACATGGTGTTTGCGCCTTTTACCGGAATAGATAACCACAACAAGGGCGTCACGTTTGCCTTCGCATTAATATCAAAAGAAGACTTGGACTCTTATGTCTGGGTGTTCAAGAATTTTAAAGATGCAATGATGCACGAACCCGAATATATCGTCACTGACCAAGATCCCTCGATCGGCATTGCGTTTCTTAAGGTATTCAGAACTTGCAAACACCGCCTTTGCATGTGCATATGATGACTAAATTACGCGACAAGGTTGGTCATTCTTTAAACAATGATGTAGAATTCAAACGAAGGCTTAATGAAATTGTGTGAGATCGAACTATAAGGCCTGATGAATTTGAAGCTAAATGGGCGACAATAATGAGAGACTATATGCTGGAAACACACAATTGGTTTATTGATCTATTTGCAAAGAGGGAATTTTGGATTCCACCCTTTTTTAGGGATGTCAAAATGAGCGGTTTGATGAGGACAACATCCAGGTCCGAGAGTGAAAACAATTGGTTCGGCCATTTCACAAGTAGCCATTCTAGCTTAGTCGAGTTCCTTCTACATTTCGACAGTGGGATGAACGCGCAACGAAACGCGTCAGTCAAGCTACAAAATGACAGTGAGTCGCAAATGGCTGAATTGAAGACACCTTTGCCGATTGAGAGGCACGCGAGGTCTGTTTACATAGCATCCTCATTCTACCGTGTACAAAGTGAGATATGTGCAGCATGTTTCAATTGTCGTGTATTGACCGTCTCTGAAAGTAATGAATTATTAAATTCAAAATCAAAGACCCAAACGATAAGACCTTCACTGTTATTAACTACGTCTACATGTTCTTGCAAGCACTTCGGTTCGTACGGGTGGTTGTGTAGACACATGTTTGTTGTGCTCAAAGACCTGAAATTCAATCTCATTCCGTCGGCACATATCATATCGAGATGGACGAAGTAGGCGATTAGTAATCCCATGTTTAATGTTCCTGATGATGTTGCTACACAATGTGCCAAGGCCGATGATACAAAACACCTGTTGAACAATTGTGGTCAGATATACACATATGCATTAGCTGAGCCTTGTGTCGATCGCCTTATCGAATTTTCCAAAATCGTTGAAGCATACAAGACTAAGCTCATATATGTTCAAACAAGGGATGCACCGATCATTGGTAAAGAACACTTAAGCATTTTCACTGTATATGCTACAGTAATGCACTTTATATATCGTCACATTGCACAATATAAAACACGCCGTTGTTTATAAAGTAACGTATCTACTCAAACAGGAGATGCAATGATCATTGGTAAAGAACACCAATTTGAATCGTTTTTTGGCATTACTGCTCTTCAAGAGGTGAACATTCACCCTCCAACACAATCAAGAACAAAGGCAGCTGGAAGAGAATGAAAAGTGTAAAGGAGAAGGCAATTGAAGGGTCACAAAAGAAACGAAGGACGTGCAAGTCATGTGGTGAAATAGCTGGCCATAACACACGTACGTGTCCCAAGAAGCAACAGGCGTACAAATCAAATGCCGCTGAGGTAAATGCACAAATAGTTGTCTGATACTCTAACATAGATATTAGACATACTTGCGTTTATCTCCGTGTGCCTTTTTTTACAAATTATGCATATATAAAGTCTTATAATATAATTCCTCTACAATATGCATCTGTATACATATGTCAACATCCTATATCATTTCTCAATAGTCGTATGTATTTATTAACAGTGGGCGTGTAGTCGTACAATAGTGTAATGCATATTCAATGTGATGTATGAATATTAACATATATAAAAAAAAAATTCGTGTATACACAGGCGACAAGTGAGGCGACAATTAATTTATGGGGCTTCATCTCGGAGCAAATGCTTTGGACATTTAGTTTAATGATTCTCATTTTTTTTTATTCTTATTTTATTTTTTATTTTTTATTTGGAAACTGTATAGACATCTGGTTGTTGGTTTGACGAATATTGCTCTATGGAGCACTTGACTGTTGCCGTTAATTTTACGATAGTCATTTTAGTGTTACTATCGTGTTTTTTTTTTAATTATTATTTATGGTGATGACTGGTAATTACTATATGTGTCAATGTGTCATTTATACAGATTTGGGTGTGAACAACAACCACGAATACCATATGTATATTGCATTTTTTTTTTTGGATATTACGTTGCACTTTACTGAACACTACGTCGCACTTCTCTGAACATCACGTTGCACTTTTTCATCATATATGATTGCATTCAATATTAGTCCGGAAAAGGTCGTGATACGATATGAAATACGTAGTCGATGCGTGAAATGTGTTGGATGGCGAGTCCAAAAGGTGTTGATACCATACGGATCTTAAAGACCGATATAGTGTGTGACCCCATATATGTACGCAATTACAAAATCATTCGCTATATCGACCAAATACAAACACTTATTCGATGATGAAAATACACTAAAATTGATTGTTATTGCAACAAATCGATATCACAACAATCACGTGTCCGGAAACCTTAGCATTTCCACTGTATATGCTACAACAATGCACTTTATATATAGGCACATTGCACAATATAAAACACGTCGTTGCACCTTATAAAATATCATGTCGCACTTTATCGACACACTCCACGAATAACGTCGATAGCTCCATCCAATAATCCACAAACCTTAAACCGAAAACCTGTTCTACATAATATTTTATAATCGCATCACGTCGTTCATCCGCAACAGAACAAATATATATATATATATATATATATATATATATATATATATTGTCGTGCCAACATACCAAAAAACGACAAAAATATATCATAACAACCTACTTGAATAGTCATCGAGCCCATAGTGCTAGAAACAAACAGCTAGTGATAGACATACCAAATGTCAGGTCCTACGAATACGACTAACATGTCTAAACAGCGAACGGCACATGTGACACATCACACGGCATCACCTTTTTCAACTAGAACCTCTTTGATTCATTGAAGTTAACGTCTTTCAACTTGTTGTATGGTACGAACGCTATGACATAGCAATAACGCTTCCTCATGAGGTCGATCTGCCCCTTGTCAGCCCTCTTCACATTTGGATTCCAATCTTGCATACCACATCCTTTGAATGTCTCCATGTGACGCATTGTTATGACACCGGCATCTACGACGTCGACACCTTCAGTCCACGATAGTTCAATAAAGTCCGGAATCGAGAGTGCGACCGCCTTTGAAGATTTTGACATACTCATGTGTCCCATATACTTTGCAAGTGATTGTTGCTGCAATGAATGTACATGCTAACATGTAAAGAAAAAAAAAAAACAAAAAAACAAAAAAACAAAAAGAAAACAAAAACAAACACACCGCGTGATAAAAAATAAGCAAACTTTCTACAGAGGTAGAGATAGTTGTTACCAAAATCCTGGCATGTGAGAAACGGATTTCTTGATTGAGGCATCTTTACAAAATCCATCACTATCTAAGATAGATAACTTCTGAGTGTCCAGCGAAATGCAAATCAGCCCACTAAATCCACCGGAGTGCACCGAGAATATAAAATGTAATTCAAACAAAGGAAAAACAGTTATAATGTAACGCCGATCATTATATCAAGAACCAGAATGCAATCATTCATAATACCATAGAAATTTTCTTCAGGCTATAGCCACACATTCGACCTATATATGAATCTAGCATCTCCACAAACTTCTTATAACTTATGTCCTTCCTTCTCTTTCCCTTAAAAAATAGCTGAGACTCACAAAATTTTATGGTAAGCATTACTGAAACAAAATCACGGAACAAATATCGTAAGTATGCTTCTAATACATCAAAATATAACACAATGTACCTCATTGCACGGACAAGTGGTTGCGAAGAAACACGCTACCGAACCACAACTCTTGAGGTTCTGATTGCGGTTCATATACGAGCCCACAGATCAATAAGTGCCTCGGTGATTGGCGTATTCGGTGCCAAGCATGCCACCACATTCCTCTTCACAGAATAATCAAGGGGACGGGACTGATATATAATCACATCTATGCATAAAATATTATCATCAAGCAATAAAAAACAGAATATATAATTACACTGGACAATAAAGTTAATTAAATAAAAAGAATAACACAATGGCGAAACATATATCTTACTCGTGATCTTTCTGCAGAATCCATATAACGACCATCTTTTCCTTGTTGTCAAGATTCTTAACCACATCAATAACCCTTTGTTTGTAAGGTGATTTAAATGCGCTGGTGGGCTTGATACACCTTTTTGGTCTACCAGCATTAAGAACATCAGCATCAACAGTCGTATCATCACCTGCACCTAGTCAGCACGTATAAAAAAATTTAATCTTGGACACAATCAATACCCGTATCAATGACCGGTTCATTAACCACCGCATCACATTCAACTAGAATATATATATATATATATATATATATATATATATATATAAGTCGTCAAACACATATATACAACAACAATCAGATGAGTTAGTTATAAACGTGAAATGATAAACTCAAAATTTCTGATTGCACGTCTACATTGAAAGGCCCACCAGTAGTGAATTCGTCGGCATTATTATAACGTCCCGCATGAACATCCTCATCATCTGATGAAAGTCCCAAGCCCAAGCTAAAACTGGGGCCTTCGTGGTGAATCCGTTTAAAACGATCTCGATGTGCAACAACATCAATAATAGTATCTAAGGCAGCTAGGGTATTGGAGTCGTTTCAGAATGCATCATCCGCTAACTGTTTTGGTGCACTAATGACAGGTTCGTCATTGCAGCTGAGAGTGTGTTGACTGGTCTTCCCTTTTGCGTCTTCATTAGACACCCCAAGTAGCTTCTGTGCGGCACCTTGCATCTTCATGAAATTCTCATCGCCTAATAAGTCTTTCGGCGCC